GATTAAAATATTACTTAAAGGTGTCGGCACCTACTCGTTTTTAGCAAGATACGAACTTGCCCTACGGTCCACGCCTAGTGGAAACAGTCTTAGGCTTTAGATAACTTTTATCCGAAAGGTGAAAACTTTATTCAGCTGGTCACGTTCTTATTTTTTCTTATTTTTTGATCACCGAATTTTAAAATAGCACTTGAAAAATATATTTCTAGGTACCTACCTACCTATACATTATATTTTTATACTCAAAGATGTGTTATGTAATATTATAGACGTTTATTACAACTTCTGAAAATAGTGTTTTTAAATATGGAAACTTTATGCAATTCTGATTTGTTTTTCGATTTAAAAACACTATTTTCAGAAGTTGCAATAAACGTCTATAATATTATATTACACATCTTTGAGTATAAAAATATGATATATAGGTAAGTAGATACTTAGAAATATATTTTCAAGGGCTATTTAGAATTCAGTAATCAAAAAATAAGAAAGAATAAGAATGTGACCAGCTGGATAAAGTTTTCATCTTTTAGATAAAAGTTATCGAAAGCCGACAGTCCTACGAGGCTTGATTGTTTTTGCTGTGAAGCAATTTTTGATCGTTGAAATTATTTGATTTTTTCTCACGACTTATTAGTTATTGCCCTGTTCCCCGGGTAACTATAAATTACCTACATTAAATATTGCCATATAGTAAATAGCTCTCTCCTACAGCTTTGAACGTGATTTAGGTAGGTTTGGTTTTAAACTTAATGAAAAGTTTACCTACCTACATAATCTTGGAAAAAAATAGACTTGTTTAATTGTACTAAAAAAGTGATAGATCATATTTTAAAAATATTCAATTTGCGTTTAAAATATTTTGTATAATATGTCTGGAAAAAAGTAGGTATTTAAGATAAAATTGAAATGGGAAGTTTTTAATAAGTAAAAACTAAGAAATACGAACACCGACCTATTTAAGAACAGAAGCAAATATATTTTTACAAACAGTTTTTTTTTATTGATTGTAAAACGAGTTTTAATTTAATTTCCTAATAGGTATAAGTAACTATAATAGTAGAACGTCCTCTCTCCGCCTGTCGCTATCTCGCTCCTATCCAGATCTATAACTATAGACTTTCCACATTCAAATAAATTTAGTTTAATTACATGAATAAGGTACACATTTATCTAAAACGCGTGTGACGTAGGTAACCTATACATAATAATATTAAACAGTAATTATATAGGCCTCAACTTATATAATTATAACTAATTACGTCAGTGCCCAAATTTGGCATAATTATAATGTATGGCCATAATACTATTATATGAATATCAGTTAAGGATCTTATGATTTGGTGGTTGAACTTCTGCAAGGTAACATCGTCGCCTACCTTAGGCATATCATATCTGATTTAAATTATTTAACATAAGTAGGTGTAATTACATATCTATTAAGATGATGTCAGTGCTCTATACCTATATATATATATATATATTAATTGTTTTCTCTCCATGTATCACGTAAAACATGGTACATTAATAACGATTATATTAAAAAATCTTGTGTTGTTACAGCTTAAATATAATAATTAGAGTGAATTGAATTATTATTGTCAAACTTAAAATTAAAAACATTATTTGTTGTCGTATAGTTATATTGTAATTCTTATAATATTTAAATTTTTGATGAACGTACCTACTATACAGTTGGCATAAAAATGTGCATATAATATTGCGGAAAATCAAAATATTGATAAAAATCAAACGTAAAAACACGGCAAATAATCTTAACATAAAGTTTAACTCACTCCGTTACTAAGCTTTCAACACAAGATTGATACTTCTGAACACTAATTATTTGCAATGTTGCTTGTGTGTCAGAGAAGGTTGTATACATTAATTTATTAATTTACAACCACATAATCGAACGTACAGCATTCATACAATTTTTGTTTTCAGTATTAAAAAATAAAATAATTTTTTTTATATCATACGTGTAGCGCAAGAAACAATAAGTTATTTGTGAAAAAAAAATTTTTAATATATTGATTAGAACATATTAATTGTTAAGTTATTTCATCTGACAGGTGTTCCTGTTACACTCTGTATAATAGGGCGTAACAGGAACACCTGACATATGAAGCAACTTTTGTTTTATTCAATATATTTTAATATTTTTCTAAATATAATTCACATACACTTGAGCTACATATATAGTATAGGTAGTAAAATATTTTTATTTTTTAATACAGACAATTCTTAACCTAATTGGTATACATTTTTCTGAAAAATTCAAAATGGCCAATATCTGGTTGTATATTTGGTTTTTAGAAAAATTTAGATTGCAAAAAAACATTTATTATTAAATCATGTAGGATTTTTTTTAAATCTCTTTATTTTTGTAAAGTCAATAGTTGATCCAGCCGTAATAAACATTTTAAATTTAAAAAGTACATAAGTACCTAGTTATTTCTTATTATACTTATCAGACCAACGATACTTATTAAAAAAAATTGATATTTAGAAAAACCATATAAAATATTATTTATGTAGATTGTAGGTACCATACTATAGTAGTGAGAATATTATATTAGGTTGTACCTATATAAAAAAAGCGGTTTCCAACCTTTTAAGTTGTGCGGACCACCAATTTTGTACAAAAATCTTTGTGGTCCACTAACTTTTTTATCTTCAAAAACTAATAATAACTCATGTTAAAAAAATTACCTACCTACTATTCAAGATGAAGTAATATGTAAAAAAGTACAAAATTTACTTTTTTAAAAGAAATTCGACATTTTCATATATTATGTTTGAATGTTTGATGTCCTATTATAATTTATTGTAAAGTATAAAACATAACTTACAATATATTATTTATTTACACAATACATTTGTTTACATTTCATCTGAAACAATATATTATATTCGACGTTTAGACATTAGACCATATTAGACAATCGATATCTAGATACACCCTAGATATACCACTTATCTACCTACTACCTAGGTACTATTTTGAACTTGTAGGTACCTACTAGAGTTAAACACTTTATATTATTAATTGTCGTTATGTAACGATATATATTATTTATATCTAGGTACCTAAATTGCAAAATATTTTATATCCAACACAGAATTTTGTATTCTTATTTAATTTCATTCATCAGGATAATAAATAATATAGGTCAAACTTTTAACATTTATTTTTATGTTACATTATGTTGTGTATATGTATTTGTATGTAGTCATGAGTTCAGTGTCAGTTCTAATATACAGCTCTTACTTAAGTAGGTATTCATATTTAGTTAAAATATTATCGTGTTCTAATATTTGTCAGTTGAACGCATGACGCATTTATTTATGATTTTACTCTGTATAAACCCGTTAAATAGTGCGAGGTTCATCGTGATTTCTAACAAGCTCCACATTTGTGACTTCTGAGTTTCAGGTTAGAGATATAATGTCCGTGCTTATTGCCTCATAGTAAGACCCACCACGGGCTGACTTAAGTGAGATTTCAGGACGTTAAAGTATTAAGTTTGCCGTTAAACACGATACAACGTCATCTGTGTGGACTCACAAGTTGATTATCGCAGGTGTCTATAACTTGCAGTAAGTTATACCTATCTTTCATGCGTTCCCATGTGGTGTTCCCATGTCTGGTTTCCCGTTCTCAACAGAACAGCCAGGTAAGTTACAAACACATTTTCGCAACGTTGATAATAATAATTGATTTAAACATATAATAGTAATAATATATTATATATATATATTATTTTTTAATCAAATATAAAACTGTATGTATAAAACATAATAATAGCCATATTGTTTGTTTGTTCAGGAGCCACCGGTAAACCATATGTCCATACCACAAATAAAATATACGTATTCCTAGGTATCGCAATTTCGACTATTATTATTTTTACATGACTCCATACTGCAATTTGTTCACGATTGCAGGAGAGACGATAAAGAACTCTGCTTACAATATATTGGCACGAACAATTCCCTCCAACTTCTGAGATGACCAGAAACAATTGTCTGGTCCGCCGGAATGTATCTATGTGTGGAAAACCGATTTGACAATGCCTCTCACGCTCGGCCACCCACCGAATATATATATACACACGACAACCTAATATTATATAGTGAATCCGCCTATTATCAAATTTAAAGGCAAAAATAATATTATCTAGAGAACATCTAGAGGTATTCTTGATTTTCTAATATTAAACCTAGTTATGAGCATTATACGATTTACGAAAAGTTTACAATTTAAAAATGCTCATAAGTTATGATTCTGCAGGTTCAACATGAAAATACGAAAAAAAAACTTTTACGGTCCCCTAGATTTAATAACCTTAAAAATTAATGTACAAATAAATGTTTGAGAACACGAAAGTTCCCTAGAGCAACCTTTTGGTATAATATTATACTTAAAAGGACATGATACCCGCATGTTTTGTCTCCGTCTTACAAGTGCATAACATAACAAATAATACGCAAAGCAGAACACGTGTAGGTCCGTTAGCTTAAAAATTAGAGTAAATTGACCTCTTATAAAATCTAAAAGTAAAATTACTATCTAGACAACCTCGTGAGCTTTTTATTATATTTTAATTTTTAATCGAGTTATGAGTATTTCAAAACGTACAAACAATTTACAATTTTAAAATACTCATAGCTCGCTTTACAATTGAAATATAATAAAAAGCCCACCAGGTTATCCGGATAATAATCTTACCTTTAGATTTTATAAGGGGTCAATTCACTCTAATTTCTAAGCTAACGGAGAGCTACACGTGTTCTGCTTTGAGTATAATTCGCTATGTAACTCACTTGTAAGACGGACGTACAACACGTCATGCGGGTATCATGCCGTCTTGATGTATTATTATTATTACAGTAAGTACGTGTTTTTAAAATATCGTGCGTAAAACGGTTTCGAAATCGTGAAAAATTATACGAAAAACTAAACGTTTTGACGAACGGTTTGCATCGATGAGCCATCAGAGGGGCCAGGTTGTGTGTGACGGCGGTGGTCCGATAATTGAAGGGGGTGCGGCGGCGGTTTGGCTGCATCGAAAGCGGCGGCCGACGACGGCGTCGCCGCCTGCACCGCCGTGACGTCGACGACTACAACACTCTTGTACAAGATTAATGTCGCCCGTGGTACGTGTCACCAGCCGCGGTCGCAGGGTAAAAAGCGACGCCAAGTAAAAGCCACGTGCACCCCTCCCTTCTACCGAGGGGTTAGAAAACGGTGTGGTGTTCGAAACGCTACTGCACGCCGCAGTGGGGTAGTTGTCGTCGCCGTACATCACGGCCAGCCCAGGGGAACGTTTTAAATATTTTTTTATTTTTTTTTAAAGTACCCACACACCTCCCCACCTCTCACACCCGTCCGCACCCCTCGCGTTCGAATATTATACAAAAGTACGCGTGTAAGTCGCGTCGTATATACATAATGTACACACTGTGCCGCCGAGGGAAATATCATGTTGGCATAACACCACCCGAACGACGACGGCGGCGGGCGACTATATATGTACGCGTATATAATATATTATATATATGTATATATAAAAGCTACCCTCGATCACCGATCCTAATAAATATATATATACAGAGAGAGAGAGAGTCGAGGAAAGTCTCTCTCGGGCACGCACCCTTCTCTCTCGGGGACTTTTTATTTTTTTTTAATACCCGTGTATCGCGCAGAGTCCATCAATTCCAGAAACCATATTGCTGCCGCGCGTCTCATGATTTCATTACGATTATATTATAATAATAATAATGATAATAATATATTATAATCCCCCCTACGACGTACGGTGGTGGCGACGTCTCCTTTCTACCCCCTCGGCGTTCGCGAATCTCTCCGCTCGTGTGCGTGTGTGTAAATGTTGTACCCGCATATATATTATAATATATGTATATGTATATTATTATTATTACGTCTACTCAGCCGCCGTATTTGGTTTCGAATTTAATAACCGTTAACGCCGCCGGACGGTTCAGAAGCCAGCACCCTACTGACGCAGTGTGTGTGTGTGTGTGTGTGAGAATACTTAATATATATATATATAGATATAAACGTACACGTCACGGGGGACCGATTTGGGTGCGAATGTTTTGCATACTATTAACTGATAATATTGCTGTTGGTGCCGAGGACGGGGATGAGTACGACGTAGGGAGAGGTGGCGTTATTTTTTAGTATTATTTTTATTATTATTATTTCTTTTTTTTTAATCCGATTAAAAACGTCAGAGAAACTTCGAGCAGATAACACGGTTTAAAAAAAAAAATCCGCGATGACGTTTTCGCAGCACTATCAGTGTACAAACACTCGGCGCTTTTTTTTGCGACTGCCCCGAAATTGTTTATTTTTATTTTCCTCTCTTTCCGTCGCATTATTACATCAATATCAATATATTATATACCCGTGGTGTTCATGCATATTATATAAATAACGTGGGTATAATAATATTATCTATCTATATAATATATAATAATATATGTAAATCGTTTCACTCAACACTTCCTAGGGCCGAGGCCAGATTGTTTTTTTTTTTTACGAAGACGTCCTTGCGACGTTCGGCGGACTGGTCAATTTATTGTTTCGACTTGAATTTGTTGTTTATTACGAAAATATAACCAGCCAACGAGGGATCTAGATTGGATCTGATTCTTTGTCATATTTGGATAGACGTTTTACTAGTACTGTGGTAAGCATTGGAATGGAGAAGATTAATTAGATCCACTATAGAAAGTAGGTGAGTTATCTGCAGGCCAATGACAGCTGTTTTTTTGGTGGGTGGATTTTACTTTAATTTTCCAGATAGGTACCACGCGTTACCAATCTCTAAACTGCCAAAGGGTGGTTTTTTTGTATTAGACGTTTGTCTGTTTGCATGTGTGGCATATTTTTAAAATTCGATTAATTAATATAGAGAGGTTGAAAGCAACAGGTGGCCTGACCTATAGTACTAATTATTCAATTTGTTTATTAACAGATAACGCACTTAACTATACGGTATAGTCTATACCTATGTACACTAAACTTACGGAAAAAAAATAGGTTTTGAGACCCACAGTGAAGCCGAGGTAGTTGTGGAAGTTGTTGATGCAATATAGTTAAAAATATTAAATCTGTTCATATATGGTATAAAATAAAGACAGTGTGAAACGGTTAAGTAACTTTTGTACAATTCGTATATATTCGAAGAGCGTTACAAAATAGACACGTGTGTGACACGACGTACAGACTGCGATCGCGAGTGAAACAGAACAGACCTAACATTATAATATTTTTTGTCACATATTTATATATTATATGCAAGCTTTGTAAAATCAAATCGCCCGATTACACTTCGACCTATGTCCGTCGTATGATAGGTACAATATTATGTCATGACGGGCATAGACAAAATAATATATAAAATATTTTATTTATACAAACACGTCATATTATTAACGCACTGCACGGTAACACAATATCGCAAATATGGGGAAACGTTGTAATTTTATATTCTTATAATATTAATGTCCCCGCAAATGTTTTCGTGGATCGAATATTATATCGTATAATAGTGTCTCATTTTTCTGATTTATATATATTATATCGGAGGACTAATACACCCCTACTTTATAGCCACGCACGTCAATATAGTCGCCGCAGAGATGTTATAATATTAATACGTCATTGGAGTCTGCGTGGCGTTTAAGGCATCGGGTTCCATATTGTATACATCATGTACGTATTATGTGCAGTGCGTGGGACGGCGGTGAGTGGAAACCCTTCGCTACCGTTTTGAATTGTTTACCACAATTTGTGACCCCTATTTGTCTGGTGCACACAAGCCGCCCGTTTGTCTACAGATGACTGTTCGAGACTCAAGTGTCTGTCGAATCCAAATATTTAATTTTCCAGCCGTCGGGAGTATATTTTAATCCGGCACCCCGTTTTACCGCAAAAGTCTAGCTTATATGATATTATGTTATTATCGTGCGTGTGTACACACTATTCACCTCTATATATTTTATAATAATATGATTGTTTGATGGCAATAATAACTGTGCGCGACACACACTATAACCGATTTATGTATAGTAAACACTTATAAGAACAAGGGACCACTATGCCACTATTTGAAAAATATGTTTATTTCTGTTCCTAAAGTACATCATTTTTTTTTTTTTTTTGTCAATCAAATTAAAGGTTTTGTCGCATATATGATACGTAGGTACAAAATAAGATGTCCCAAAAAAAAGTATCCGTCAAAATATTTAGTTCTCTACAATACATTTATACCTAAGTTTTGTCGTCTCTTGAAATATGAAATTTTAACATTGTGCTGATTATAACTTATAAGAGTCACTTATAACTTATAAGACTTAGATACATAAAAACAATTATAATACAATTATTATATAAATACACTATACGCAGGTATACCTAAACATATAAATACCTATACATAATAGTAGAATACCGTGTTATGATTAAATGTAATAAATAGTGTTAACAGTTGTTAATTAGGTAATTACTATTGTTAAACACTAATTTCACACATCATCCATAGGTACGAGCACGGTCTTAGAAGATGGTGTCGGACAACTATACATTATCAGCATTCCGCTTAGTGAGGCAAATCCATTTAAAAATTTGGCCGCTGTACAATTGAGCAATGGTTCTAAGCATGGTAAAATATGGGTTCCAGTTATGGTTCCTAGATTTTCTCCAAGAACCGTTTCCAGAACCGGTTCTTTAGGTTCCGGTTCCAGTCCCTGAATTGATGACATATTTTTACCGAAAAGTTTTCCTATAAACTATAATAGGACACTATTATTATAATAAAAGTATTTAGGTATAATGTAATAATCATTTATCTTAGTTAAGGTACCTAACTTATCTATATAAATTATATTAATATCTATATCAGCGTTTCTCAAAGTGTGGGTCGAGACCCACAGGTAGGTCGTCAGTCAATTTTTGGTGGGTCACGAACATTTTTTTTAATTATATAGATTCTCCTCTTCATACATATATGAAGTTGGATTTTCGGATTTTCGGATTGGAAAGCAATGTTTAAGAAAATGTAGAAAAAAATGCAATTTATATTTAAACTCACACCCTAGCAATAAATAATAATTTCTGATTATGCATTGATGCCGAAGGGCTGGTCAATCAGCTGAACCGAAATCTAAAATCTTAAACACCAAATATAATATAAACAATATTTCACACTCAATCGTTATGATAAGAAAATACAAAATATTTTTACCTACTGATTTTATTATAAATAAATAATAATAACAAATTATTTTTGAGCAGCGGCTCAGCGGGAAAGTTCCGGGTATCCCGCCGGCTCAGTCCACCCCTGAATACAGCTGATCGTTAATTTTATTTTCAAAAAAAAATAAATATACATTATACATAATAATTTTAAAAACGTCATATGTAATATCAATATGCGTGTACATACGATATATTATATATATATAATATAATATTGTAGTTAAGTGGTGCTTACTGTGTAAACTTGAGCTGAAATGGAATATCAATTTACAAGCCACTCCGAAAATACGAGCTTTTCGTTTGTACGGTCAATAAAATTCCCCTCTGTACAGTGGAATGCAATACTAAAACTAAGTCATAACTTTACTGCTCTGTGTACCCTCTTTTCCGGTCCAAGTGGTGCTCGCGCACTTCCACCCTTTTGCACTAAAAAAATAACGTGAATTCACCAAACAATACTTCCGCATACAATTCGTCATACCGCAAAAACTTCTGTCATAGTTGTCGGTCGGTTCGAATTTCTGAAAATCTCTACTATTCTACCACCTCAAAAAAATAATAATCAATAACCATTTAAAACAGTGAGATATATTTATTATGTATTACAAAATGTACCATTCAAATAAATGTATGTAAATAATAACAAACTATAATATATATAATATGGACCTATATTAGTAATATATTTACAATGAAATGATGTTGGTTCTGCTGGGATGCAATCAAATTGTTCTAAATAAATACCATACATATTTAATTGGAGTAGAAATAATAATAAGCCTAACAAGGAACACATAACATATTATTTTTGTAATGTCAAATCTTTTTAATTAATTTAAATTGTACAAATATATAACTTTATAGTTTAAACGATAATGTTACATCTTACATGTTATAGATTCAATTCAGTAACTAACTTTTACTTCAAAAATAATATAAATGGTCCTAATATAACCACAATTTATTATTAGCGTGGATTCAAAATTCAAATGGCGCTCGCCGCTCAGATACAATTATATGAAATCAGTGTAAGGAAATAATTTGTATATAATGCATTATGAATATTTTTTTTAACTGTTAATGATTGATGAAAATATATTTTAAGTAAAATATACCTATATAGTCTAGTCACTAGTCAGGCATATTATAGAAAACCTTTAAACACTGTATGAAAAATTTAAAACACTGATCTCACCCAACCATCAAGATAACACTTACAAGTTATAAAAATATTTTTTCCAATTAACGTGACTCATAGGCCTCATAATGGTTTTATGGCAGTGAACCAGACCGAAACATAATCTTGTTAATTGTATAGGTAGTTTTGATTCATAGACTATAGTAAATGTGCTCAACTGTTGTGTGCCCAATTTATAAATTAATTGTCTTAATGTTATTTATGGATATAACCGTAGACTAAATATTTCAATTGATATAATATTACTGTAATAAATAAACAATTCACAAATTATTTTTGTGTCTGCCTTAATACTTTATTTTATAATATTACCTTTTATTATTTATTTACTTAAATTGTTACCAATATAAGAAACTGCCTATAAAAGTCCACGCTAACTAATATTATCAATTATCATTTATCCGTTCAAAAACGTATTACAAAATACGATGGATAGGTACCATTTACCAATTTAATATTATATAGGGGGACAGGGGTGGCCGATCGGTTGCGACGCGCACCATCGCCGGTTCGAACTTGGCCACGGGTGGCATTTTTCTTCGGGCAGTCACGGTGTCCGGAGAGAGATGCCGCCATCCCCTACCCGGGCAGGCAGATACCAACGAGTGCCCACTTAAAAAAATCTGCAAAAACAAACACACACGTGTACAAAACCTACAGTACCATCCCTCACAGTTCCACAGGTTAATGACCTCAGTTGTCGAAGCCTCAACCCCCACCCCCAAAAAAAATATTATATCATCAATTTTAATATTACACTTCTTTGACATAGGTAGATTTTTTCATCTTGAACGAAAAATTCTTAGTCCTATAATAATAAAAAAAATAAATATAATATAAACATAACTCTCCTAAAGACATTATTCTAAAACTGCATTCTATTAAATGTTATCGAAAAAATAATATAAATTACTGTAATCTAAACTGTAAAGTTATTAATAGGATTCCTTCAACTAATCATTTAGACGTACTATTTTATGAACACCTCAGATGGGTTCCCCATATTTAATTACTAATCAGTAATAACGAGAACACGTAATAATGAGTATATATTTATTAATTTTTAAAGAATTATGAAATTATATTATATTAGATGGCAACATAATCAGAATGATATCCTAGCTATGAATCAACCTTTATTTATTTATGGTTTAATGGTATGAAGGTCTGCATATAAAAATGCTTTGGAACCTCTGAAAATAGTAAGTGCAGAGATTATTAGTAATAATAATAAGTACACCACAGATAATTTATTCATATTGCTTAAAATATTAACAATTGTCCAATTATACGGAAAACTGGTAATTATAGAAGTAAATAAAAATAAAGCAAGTTTTGATTACCATGATAAAAAAAAATACAAGAAATACCTCAAGTTTGAATCGGTAAATAACCAAACATAATACCAGACTAATGCAAAACATTTGCATAATAAAGGTATATAATTCAATAATTTACAAATTACATTACAATATTAAAACTTTAAGAAATATTATAAAATTAAAATTAGAAATTAAAAAAATATATTTATTTCTTTAACGTCCAATAATTAGTACCTATGTGTTACGTTACCTATTTAAGCATTCTATTATTTTTATCAATTAGGTCTACTATATTTGTCATACTATAAAGTTATATTTGTTTTATTAATTATTAATTAATACTCTATTATAAAAATGTCTTTTCTAGTTTACATGTCGTTTATAAGTGTTTTTACAGCATATTTAGTTCAGAAATCCCTGTTCCCACCAAAATCATTGCTTAAAGGCCTCAGCCATCAACAGTAATTAAAAATACTTATCATAATATAAGAATTACAATGTATAAATAGATTATTTTTTGGTTCTAAATTAAAATAAATATATTTATTATTTATATACTATAAATATCGGTGCATTTACTTATTTAATATGACGTATTCATCGACAATATATTTTAAAACGAAATGTCAAAACTCTTCGAAAAGAAAGACCAGAATAAAACGGGGATATATGGAATAAGAACCGAGGGGACATTATGTCACCCTACACAATTGGCAAGGGATTCTACGCTTTATTTTTTGTTTTCAAACAGGAAGTCAATTTTTTTATCGGCCAGTAAGTCCGTTATTTATGCTTATTTACATATCAATAGTAAGAATTGAAATGCCGAATAAATCCAATAACATATTGAATGTTAGTCAAATCGACCTTCAATTTGCTTACACGTAATTGAATCAGAACGTAAATAAAATAACAAACCATTGTTCGCCGTCGTTCTTTTACTTCTGGTATATTCCAAAACCTGACTTATTTATAAACAATGTCAATTTTTAAATCTGTGATAATATATGGCAAAGATCAGTTATGTTAGTAATAACTAGTACCTAAGTAAGAAATAATAAGAAATAAAAAAATAACTGTATTGAACCTGCAGACTGCAGTATAACCTTAAAATAATATGTTGTAGTGTTGAGTTTGTCTAGATAAATATTCTTTTATCTTATTTTAGATAAATAGAAAATATTAATTTACACAGTTATCTAAGATAAAAATCACCGTTATCTAGATTAGGTATGCATTTATCCAGATTATTTAATTTATTAAAAGGCTTTTATTTATTGTAGAATATAGGTAGACAATTAAGTAATTTATTAAGTAATTAGTATTTACTAATAACTATTGACATTTTCGATAACATACTATTAAGTAATTCTATATTATTGCTACGAGCTTACGGAGAGTGCCATAAAATAATATAAAAAAATTTATCTAGATAAAATAATTTTTTTCATCTTCATCTAGATAAATAAATGATTTAGGTAGTTATCTTTATCTTTATCTCGATAAATTTATTATAATTTATCTTTATCTTTATCTAGATAAAATTATATTTATCTCTGCTCAACACTGGTTGTAGGTATTGAAAATCATAAGCTAAATTAATTAAAAATATAAATTATATAGGTATTTGGTACCTACCTAATAATAATAATTATAGTAAAATATTCAATCTAAAATATTAAAAATAATAAATTAAATATTAATATTAATAATAATAATTATTGTAAAATATTAATCTCATAGAAACTATATACTGTCGAGTAATACAAGCATCATCAAACAAAACATCCATCGACATACCTATTATATAATATATTACTGGGTAATAATTTCCAATAAAACATTCTAAAGCCTATAGTGAATTACTAATGTAATTCATTATGTTATCTAAGTACGTTGTAATGATTATATATGTGAGAAGATAAAACTTGGTAAACGACTAAGATATTATAATAATTTTAATGAATCGTGTATTTTGTAGATTCTGAGTCAATTGAGGATGGAGGTACATAACATAAGGGTTGTATATTAATAATGTGTTTCTTTTTCCAAACACTACGGAGCAAATATTCTTTTTATTCTCTTGAATTTTTAGTTGTCCAATATGATAACTACCAAAAATTAAACTATACAAATAAAAAACTTTTCTAGAATAGTATAGTAGTAAAGTAATAGCATCAGTGATAAAGCTTTATTATTTTTCAATTACTAAGATTATTCGTTAATAAGGACATAAGATATATTCAAAGGTGGGTATAACTAGTTAGTTCATTTTCTAATCAACTTATGAACTTAACTAGTTTAACTGACAGTTGAAATAACTTAGCTTTCCTCAGTTTATTTTAAAATAATCCATATCATAAAAAATTTTGAAATGTTCAATTTTTATGGTTTTACACGTATACATTAATACTAAATTTACGATAGATTACGTGGTTATTACTAAAATAATATGTTTATTTATTTTATTATATTATTATAATACAAATCATCACCCACTGGTGATTGGCCGTTACCAACCCTCCACCACCTTAAAAAACTTAGAGGCCCCTCAAGATCCAATCATCAATGTACGAATAATGAATATAGGTGACATTCAGAACAGGTTACGCTATATGATCGATCGTCATAATATTATTATTTATTCGTACGTTTTCGAGAGCATAGAAAATCTATATGACTTTCCTAAAAGCATTTCCGGTTTCACCATTGCAGGTAATGAAAAGCGGACATCCGGTGCTGTTTTCCAGTTGCTGGTACGTGAACTACATCAAGTACGGAACGGACTGGCTGAACTTCTACAGATGTGACCCCACCTCTGAGGTCGGCGATAACCGTTTGTTTTTGGGAGGGGAGGCATGCATGTGGGGCGAGTTCGTGGGCGAAACGAACTTATTGCCATACACGTGGCCCAGGACCAGCGCTGTGGCCGAAGTGCTCTGGTCACACAAGCTAAACGAGATTGAAGCCAAGCACAGGATCGAGGAACACGTTTGCAGAATGAGGCGGAGAGGAATACCCTTAGAACCATTATATTATAGGCACGTATATACCTAACTGTTGTATCTTATTGGATAAAGACTATAACAATATATTGTAGATATGAATAGGATTTACAGTTCGAAAACATGTATTGAACAAAATAATAATATATCACTATTTTCAAAGGTTTTTGAATTTTTATTCCATCTGGATTGGTAAAAGTACAAGTTAAAGAGCTCTAATACGTGAAAACATTTTATAGTAGAAGGTAGTTGAATAAAAATAACATAAATAATTATTATTTATAAAGGGGATTCATTTTTACCCATATTTATTGGTAGTAGGTACTTACTTGCATTGAAATAGATAATTGAGCATCGTGAAAATGATTATCGATCTTATATAGCTACACACATAATTTTATTTCTTGATTAGTGAATAAAATTTAAACAGGGGAAAAATCGGTATAACGACTTCGATGTACAGTGGTGATGGGTTTTGAATACACCTCGTTTTTTTGGAGTAAATAAATTTTAATAGTATGTATGTTTTAAATTTTAATTCAATTATGAGTCATTGTAATTGTATGCATACGTTAAAATTGAATTCAATGATAAGTCATTGCATATGAAAAACGATTCTGAGCGAAGACCGCGGTCTATCAGCCTATTATATTAGAAACTATTATAAGTAGGTAAATTTTTTTATTTAAGCAGCCTGCACGGGGTTTGGCGTCCGGTTAACTATTCACATAATGTGGATCGATATAATGGTATAATATCGATTATGATTGAGAGCATACTTATACTGCCCATAATATCGAAAAAAATATCTTGAGAGTATACGGCATATACCTATGTATTATACCCTATGGGAACACCCCTGCCGTTAAGTACCTTTTTAGTAGCCAAAGTTTTTGACTCGCAACATCTTTTGATCAATAGTAATTATCTATAATTACTGTAGAAAAAATTTAAAAAAATTAAAACTAAAAATGTCTATAGTTCATATAGAATCAAAATATTTGAGTTATTAACTCAAAAAAGGTGGGTAAGTGGATGTCGCTCTGCTGTACTGTAGGTTACAAGTGGGTCACTGTATAATGGATGGTATTAAATTTGAATTCAATGATATAATATCATTGTATAAAAAAAACGATTCTGAGCAAAGACGGTATGTCAGTCTAGGTATAAGACATATTATATACTTATCTATGATGGACACGAAAAAAAAATTAAAAAAACACATCATTGTAAAATCAATACATTCATCGTTCTACTCAGAATCTAAAAATTAATACATGATATAAATTTAAGTAAATATAATTATGAAATCATGATAAAGTAAAAAGTAAAAATTAACTAAAAAATTGCGCCCCAAAAAAATCTTGCGACCTAGGCTCGTGCCTTGATGGCCTATGAGTAAATCCACCCCTGTATATGCGTCATTATATTTAGGCAATACAATGTTGGTTTGGCAATATGTGAATAAGTAATGTAATGATATTTCAGATTCTATAGAAGATGTAGGTTTAGGTATACAACCTACATGCTATCAACGATGAAATAATAAACAATACTTAAAGAAGAAAACTAAATGATTTTTTGAAAAAACAAAAATTATCATAGGACATCAATGCGCTCAAAACGCTTGAGAAAAAATTAACTACCTACTACACTTGGTACAAAACATGATAAAATTAATTTTTGGGTTCTTTACAAACTGCAGTGTAGGTACACTATTAATATAAAATATAAAATAATTCTATTCAGAGTGCATAATATTATTATCATATGTATTACACAGATTCCCATTCTTTAGCCATTGTATGATTAACTATTTGTTGGTTTATTAAAAATGTTTTGAAATAAATCATAATATTGTAGTAGGATATTCTACAATAATACTAATAATAAATATATTTAAAAATTCTTCGTAATTATGAGATATATATTTATATATTAGGAAATCGTTAATTAGTTATAAATAAGTATTTAGTTAGCTTTGGAGTAGAGTAAGGACTGCTGAGGAAAAAAATGGTATTGTAGTCCAGCGCTTTAATATAAGTAGTATAAAATACTAAATTAATACATTTAAAAAAAAAAAAAACAAAAATTTTACGAAGATCGAGAGCACGCACGGCACCACGAAGTTGGTTGTGGGGGCTTTAATCGCCTCACCCACGATACGGTTTTTCACCGGCATGTATCCTTTCATGATTATTCAGCAATGTTCATTGTTCACCATACGGCGATTTCGGGTGGTAGCCGTGCATCAGACCTTCGCATACATTCGTGCCCGACTGGCAGTATATATATAAAGCATCCAACTAGAGACCATCACAAGGGAGAGCGTAGGAACACCGTTTCTGTCCATAGCCTGACCAACCGCCGAGTGTGACAGCCTCGAGTCGGAGAGCCGTTAGATGGTGCCATGCAACCGGTTTCCAAATAAATAAATATTATTATGTTCCGTGGCCGTGGCGAGTACTGTGTTTTCCGGTCCACCCGGCATCCACAGACACACAACAAACCGTAACAGTCGTATTGTTATTCATTTATACATTGCTTAGTTAGGTCTTAGGTGTACATTTTTTTCATTATTAATATTTTTGAGATATTCATATTTTTAGATAGGTACTTTCTGATATATTTTTTGTCCACACATTTTAACATGCATTTAGCATACCTTTGATTATACTTGCCAACCCATGAATATGGGTATGAATAAACATATTTAGAAAAAAGTGGGTAAGTTGGTGACGGTTGAGGAGCGTAGACCGTTTGGGTGAGGGTTTACTCTACCAAAACTACCGTTTGGAGCTTTGTGCAAATAAGGTTTAAATAAGCTTATAAGTTAACTAATTAAAAAATTGTATAGTAATGTATATTGTACTTAATTATTTAGAAAAAAAACTAAAAAAAAATGGAAAATGAAAATGTCCCTAAACAGTTCAAAATAAATCAAAATATTTTGAAAATGTTATCGTGTATAGAAAATGCAAATATAAACAACCAGTGAAAATTTCATGTATATACGTTCATTTGTTTTAGAGTTATACCAATAACCAAAATCGATTTTTTGGAAAACTAATTTTGCGTAAAAATTCCCGTTTTTCCTTAATTTTTATGTTGTTTTTCCCGGCGCTTGTGAAAAATTGTCTTTTGACCACCCAAAGTACCAACTAGATTCACTTTCCTATCAGAAAAGCTACTGATGAAGAAAATCCAAGCACTTTTACTGTCCTAAAATGTGATGACAGACACAAAAAAAAATATAAAAACATACATCATTGTAAAACCAATACATTCATCGCTCCGCTCAGAATCTAAAATAAAACATAATATTATGTACCTATGTTAAAACTAAATACATTTTGCGAAAACTGATTTTGCATAAACTTTATAATTTTTCCGTAATATTCCTTTTTTTGGTTTTTCCCGACTCTTATACTTTAATACATATATTATTAGAAAATTTAAGAATATATTTTCATGCATATTTCGTCGGTTTCTGGTGCATATTTAATTATTTTTTAGTGCATTAAATGCACAGCAAGTTGTTATTAGGTTATTTGTACAGTACCTACATCACCATAAACTGGTTATGTACCTACCTAGGTACCTAATATTTAGGTACCTTAAAACCACAGAACATTAGACCATAATAATATTTTTCAGTGAATAATTGTGTTTACTATTGTCTATTTTGGTAGCTGTCAGTTTTCTGTCAGTATAATATACCCATCGGCTATTTATAAGGTGACCTGCCGACCTGGTAACATATTGAAAAGACTAGAAAAACAATAATCTGTAGCTCTCCAGAGTCCAGACATTGGTAATTACTAGGGCTAGGATAGTATAGGATTTTGCATTTTTTTTTTAGGATTTACAGGACATAGCTTTTCAAGCACAAAATGTGATTTGGTCATATACGAGTCCAAATTTATAGTTTTTATTTTGCTTTTTTTTGCATTTTTTGTACTTTTAAGGATTTAGAGTCATTTTTTCAATTTTACGGGCATTTTTTATACTTTTTTGAAATCTAGGTAATATTTTTATACATTTTCATTTACACTAGATGTTCTCGATAAAAGTTTTGAATTTGTTTTGAATAAAATAAGAACATATGCCTCGGGGAAAAAAATTTGGATTTCAATAGATGAAACTTCGGATGCAGCTGGTCGATATGTTGCTAATGCAATAATTGGAACGTTGGAAATTGATCATCCAGGTAAAACTTTTCTTTTAAATTCCGAATGCCTGGAAAAAGCTAATCATGGAACAATTGCTAGATTTTTCGATAAATCTCTTTTACTTTTATGGCCTGATGGAGTAAAACATGAAAATGTACTTTTATATTTTGTAACTGATGCAGCTCCATAGAGGGTGAAAGCGGCCAGATCTTTAAAGCTATTGTATGCAAATATGGAACATGTTACGTGTTTGGCTCATGCTCTTCATAGAGTATCGGAAGAAATTAGAAAATATTTCCCTTTAGTAGACGAATTCATATCAAATATGAAGAAAGTATTTTTAAAAGCTCCATCTCGTACTCAAGAAAATCGTAAAATAAGAAAATTAAGAAAATCCTAAATTAACATTTTTTTTGCTATTTTTTTATAATATTATAATTTAAATGATTTTTTACCAAAATATTAGGTAATTAATAATTATAATGCATTTTTATAACATTTTAAAATCATTTTTTATCTTTTGGGCATTTTTTAAGGTCATTTTTAGGTTATTTTAAGGTCATTTTTTTAGGTCATTTTTTGGTTATTTTAATGGGCGTATATCGATTGCGCCGAAATTACCTTTTTACCTGTAAAAAATCTATCGATTGCGCCACGTATCAACTCCGCCGAACTTTTTTACATATTGATTCCGCAATCCGCCGGTTATCGATTACCCCGAACTTTTTTACTTTATACAGTAATAAAAACATTTAAAAGACTTATGACTTATGTTTACATTTATGTTAAAATATATTTTATTTCATTAGTAGGTACACACTATAACTTACTGTAATTTGTATTTAACTCGTAACAAAATAAGTTGAAGTAGAATAATACA